TGTGCATGCAGTGTGCTTTATGCTTCTACAGTGTGTCTTTCTTCACTATAGTCCTTTTTTTACAACATTCACCTAAGGTCAGTAAGAATATCTTCTAAAACAGGATCAGTTATTATGTAAAATACACATTTTGATCATGAACTGTATAAGCTTTCTTACTTTTAAATGTTAAAACCTGGTAGTGATACTTTAATTGCACCTGCACGGATTTCATACTTTTGGAGTTTAACCTGCTTTTGCCTTTGAAACTGTTTAGATAATAGTATTTAACAAAACCTGTTCTAATATAAGAATACGATGCAATCAGAGCAAGTTAATCATATATATAGATCTGTGGTTTTAAGGTAAAAGCACAAAGTTAAAAATTTAATGCTGTTTACACTTGAATCTGAGCAAACTCATCTCTTGCAATATTAGAAACAAATTTAATAAATGTACATTTAGCCATTTGTTATGCATCTTAAATGATTAGTTCAGACTGAAGTTTAAAGAGTCATTCTGTGGTGAGCTTATGAACAGTTATCATCTTACCTGATATAGACGACCACAACATCACTTTGAAGGAATAGAGTTTAAATCTGAACTTGATGAGCTAACCAGGTTGATGTTACATCTAATCCATCTAGCTGTTCTAAAGTAACTATGGAGAAAATAAACATGGGAATATTCCTGCAGGAAGTGTTCCAGGCTACACAAGAAGTGCTACAGCTAGCTACTGCTGTGATAGACTTCTATGTAAATGAATGTGTAATACCAAAGTGTAAAGGATTATAAAATAGTCTGTGTGTGACCCGTCAAAACCTTTGAAACTGGAGTCATTTAAAGATGGCAGCAAAAACTTTGGTCTTTGCTTCTCTCAGACTACCCATTAGCTTGTCATTCCGTAAAAAAAATTAAGTGAATTTATGCAAACTAATTTCCTTCAAAGAGCTAAATATTCAACGTTTATAATCATTTTACAGAAACAGATTAATTAAAAACTAAACAACCACTTGAAAACAGTGAGTTCTATTTCGTATAGGCTTCGCCCTTTAAGGCTGTCGCTGATGGGTTTATCCCGTTATGCGAATCATCACACTGAAAAAATTTAGTCCACGCCCACCTGCTGTGTGGGCCCCACCCGATCCGTATAAGTTACGTTAAGAGCGGGTAATCGGCTCCCATTTTTCTTCAGCAAGCTAACAACACTGACCTTCGACAAGATGTCCAGCTCCAACACCATCCGCTTGTGTCCATCCTGCAAGACCCGTTACTTGCTTAGCTTTGACCGGCACGACACCTGCGAGGGATGCCTGGGTCCCTGCCACGTCGCCCGCGCTTCCTCCTGCCGCCTCTGTGACGATCTTCCACCGGAGGAAAGGCAGAGGAGAGCAGCCTTGTTTAAGGCTAACGTCGAGGACTGCCTGTCCGTGGCGGGAGACTGTTCGCTGGACGACGCGATCGACTTCTTCGACGCTGGCTCTCGGAGCGAATCGGATGGTTCCTCTGGGACTGGTGACGTTAGCAGCAGCCCCGATGCTCGCTTCCTCCCGGGGAGCGCAGTGTTGGAACGAGGGGGGCCGAGCAGATGCTCGACCCCTCCGAGCCTTCCCGCCTCAACGGCCACATCGCTCCCTGCCGTCGGCGCACTCCTTTCGGAGTTGCCCGGCATTATCTGGGAAGCTGCTGACATGAAGGGACTTTCCGTTCCCTTACCCCCCCCCCCCCCCCCCAAATCGGATGATCTTGCTGGAAGGTTTGGCTCCACGCCGGCTCACCGTCCTGATCCCATCTAGCCTCGTTTTCCAGCGGTGACGTCGTATTGGAACGAGGCCGCAGCCGGTCCTGGTAATTTTTAACTTTTAATCATCCGCTGATGAAGCGTTTTCTAAAAGGTGTACAGAGACGCAGGCCTGTTTCACACCCACTTGCTCCAGTGGGATTTAACGCTGGTCCTGCGAGCCCTGATCAAAGCTCCATTTGAGCCTCTGGATCAGGTTCCACTTAAATTCTTGTCTCTTAAAACAGCCCTGCTGCTGGCTTTAACATCCGCTAAGAGGGTGAGTGATTTATCTGCCCTCTCTGTCGCTCCGTCATGTCTCAGAATTCAGGCTGACGGTAGTTCAGCTGATTTAAGACCAAACCCAGCTTTTATGCCTAAAAATATCACGAGCTCTTTTAAATCAAGAGTGATATCGTTGGAGGGATTTTTCCCTCCCCCCCACAGATCAGAAGAAGAAGCATCTTTTCATCTTCTCTGTCCGGTGCGGGCGTTGACGTGTTACATAGCGCGCACAGCTGTAATGCGTCAAACTCAACATTTGTTTGTGCATTATAGAGATGCATCTGCAGGTCGCCCGTTATCCACCCAGCGTTTGTCACACTGGTTGTGTGAGGCCATTTCTGAAGCCTACAGAGCATCAGATTTAGAGCCTCCTGTCAACCTCAGAGCACGCTCGACTAGGGGTATCGCATCTTCAACTGCCTTGCATAATAGTATGACAATGCAGGACATTTGCACTGTGGCCGCGTGGTAAACACCCTGCTCATTCATTTGCTTTTATCTGGGTGATGTGACAGTTCGTTCCATGACACATTCTGTCCTTAATGCTCTAACAGAATGAATATTATTGTTTTCATGGAACCCTGTTTAAGCTCACATTTGTCTGCATGCTTCACAGTGTGAGATGTTGTTATCAGTCACAAGTTGTGTCTGTTATTTTGGTTCTATTGTCACTAATCAGTTCATGACTATTGTTACCAATCAGTTCATTTGATTAATAATCAGTTCACTTGTTATTATTAATCTGTTTATACTGTTCAGCCACGAATCAGTTGGTTCATGCCCCCCCCCCCTTTTTTTCACAACATATTCCTTCCCCGTTGAAATTTTCCGGGGCGTTCATGTTTTTCAGAACGTATAGTTACACAACATGCGTCTGTGCATGGCACACATAACTACGCAATGCGTAATTATGCACATGGGGAGCTGAGTGACAAGACGTTTTTGTGGGCAAGCTTCTGTCTCATACGGTGTTCGAATGGATCCAGTGAGGCGAGGACAACATCCGCTTCGCCCTTAACCCATCAGCGACAGCCTTAAAGGGCAAAGCCTATATGACATAGAACGTTGGTTACGTACTGTAACCCCAGATTCTATGAGTATAGGCGTAGCCCTTTAAGCGTCGGGCCTCACTGGCTCCTGAATGGCTGAAGAAAAAATAAAGCTATTTGGGAGCCGATTACCCGCTCTTAACGTAACTTATACGGATCGGGTGGGGCCCACACAGCAGGTGGGCGTGGACTAAATTTTTTCAGTGTGATGCTTCGCATAACGGGATAAACCCATCAGCGACAGCCTTAAAGGGCTACACGCCTATACTCATAGAATCTGGGGTTACAGTACGTAACCAACGATTTTTATTAAAACACCCAGTTTATCTATTTATACTGAACGCACGCCTGAGCCATGCATGTGTGGCTTCCCTACATGTGCACATCTACACAGGCTGAGGTTAATGCCATGTCCCAACACAATTAATGAAAAGTGACATGCAGCCGGAGCTGCAGGGCACACAAGCTTAGATAACCCTCAGCATGCAGACGCACAACACACACACATGCTGTCTTCTCCGAAGGATTATTTCCTTGTAGCCTTTGCTCCTGTTGGAGGTGTCCAGTGAGTCCTTAGGTTTCGTCTTCTTGTCTCATGTGTCGCAGCGTGTTGACACATGCACAGGCAGTGATGCATTATGAAAGATGTCTGCAGCGTGCTGTACAGTGGACGAACAAATACCTGCACAAAGACTCATGTGCAGGGGTCTCATTGCTAACAATGTTTCAGCAAATTAATTTCTGGTTCTGTCAGTTTTATCGCTGTGATGGCAGCGACCCAGATTATTTAAATCATCGTGATGATTATTAGTTTTGATATGACAATAACGTGAGGGTAGGTCTGCACAGAACATTAATAAACTAATGGTGATGAGCGGAAAAGTCTTTTTGCACTAATGCATGCTCAGAGGGTGAACACAGCTTTCCTTTTCATATGAATGGGCGTCTATATGGAGAATGGCTAACGCTGCAACACAAGCTAATTCCTGCTAATCCCAGTGCAGCTTCTACTACTTAGGGATGGTTTCCAGTGGCAGCTCTGTAGCAGGGGAATTTCTACTGAGATTAGGTTGTGTTAGCTCCTCCTTTGTGGTTTACACTCACGGCCAGGCTAGGCCTGACGCTGACTCTACACTAAACTTTCCCTCAGAGATGGATTGACTGGTTTTGAAAATGCCCTGTGGTAAACTGGTAAAATAATGTAAGTCTTTTCGTTCTTTATCTTCATCTTGGAAATAACTGTATTAGTTGGCTATCTGAGAGTAAAACATAAATCAAATGTAAAATATTTATTTGTATGAAAGTGCTTTAACTTTATGTTCACATTTGGATTTTTTAAGTGCTTCTCTGAGTTCTTTAATGTGTTCTGCTTTAACAAGCTTGTGTTTAAACTCGTCATTTTGGATTTATTCATAAATCTTTAAGATTTAGGTTTAGAAACTGAACATCTGTTGTGGATTGTTCTGGAGTCACATAAAAAACAATAATTTGCTAACTTTTTGTGCTCCTTGCTATCATTCAGTATCATTTTTAAAGTCCTACCATCTTAAAGTGAAATGTTTCTTTTGTCTCAAGTGAGCTGGACTTTATTGTCATATTTAAAAGTGGTCTGAATCATTTGGTCTTCAATGCACTTTTCATCCACTTTAATTCATATACAAACCAACTTGATTCATTTTTTTAACGCACAAAATTAGAAATTTGATTTTTTTTAAGGGCATATGCTAACTATTGGGCAATATTCACGTTTACATTGGGCTCCAAGATGTCAGATGAGCTTGGCACTGATGTGTCCTAACTTACAGATTAAACCTTGCATTGTCTCACCAATCTGTAGTTTGTACAAAATCTTCCTGCCCAAAATCCAACTTTTTTATTTATTTATTTATTTATTTTTGTCTTTGTATAGGAGAACTCTCTTAAAGATGTTTCCACAATCAGGAAAATCGATCGTCTTTGACAATTTTCCGGACCCGACCGACGCCTGGGAAATTATTGAGACAATTGGCAAAGGCACCTACGGGAAAGTCTACAAAGTTCTCAACAAAACGGATGGAAGCAAAGCAGCTGTGAAGATACTGGATCCCATCCATGTGAGTTGTGTTAGAAAATCTGCTGCCACTTTACAATAAAGCTCCCCTTACAATTGCTAATAAATAGTTTATAGTTATGTTATTAATTCCTCTATAAACACTTTATAAATCATTAATAACTGCTTGTTATTCATTAATTAAGAACGAGAAAGAGACAAAACTGACCAGTTTCTATAGTTGTGATCTATAGTTGTAGATAGTTATAATGCAGTCATAATGTACAATTTTATATCCTAAAAAAATAGGTTTACAAATGCTTATTGTGCTAACCAGGTAGGAACTTAGTCTGAAATTTTAAATATAACAACTCTAGATGAAATATATAGGTGACAGATTTGTCTCTCTATTTGGCAACAAACTGGTCAGTTTTGTCTCTGTCACCCTTAATTAATGTATAATAAGCAGTAATTAATTATTTATAAAGTGTTCATAGAGGAATTAATAACACATCTATAAACTATTTATTAGCCATCTAAAAGGGGATCCTTATTGTAAAAATCCTCCTTGGCTGAAAAATCATTACAATCTGTTAAAGGTGTCTGTCCCATTCATGGATTTACAGTTAAAGAACAGGTCAACAGAGCAAAGTTACTGAATACTGGATTTAATCTTAACATTTCTTTGAATGTTGCCTCAATTACAATAATCTGTTTTGTGTTTTCGGTACATGAACGTGGTCAAAAATCATTGTCGTTAACATAAATGATCAGTTTTCACCAGAGAACCGCAGAGCTCCAAAATCAGCCGACAAACCACCACTCGAACATGAAAACCTTTATAACAAATTAAATCAAGTCCATCCTTGTGCAGATAGAACTTTTATAAAAAATAAATAAATTTGGTTAACCAGATATTTCTCCTTTAACACTTTTCTTTGAGCTAAAAAACACACGTGTGCTGCAAAAAGAATCCAAAAAGTGCTTTAAATGTCTTACTCTAATTAATTAACGTTACTTAGGGTTAGCATATGCATCAGATTATTGTACAAGGACTTGTTTCGTTATCAAATTTCATAATTTAGACAAGAAAAATAACGTATGAAAAGCAAACAGCTTTGTTGTCACAGGCTGCTCACACACTCCCTCCTGTCATCGTATTTCCATAAAAAACAGTTAGTGGCCTCAAGTATGAAAATAATTTAGAGTTGCTTTGAATGTTGCGGCTGCAGAGAATAGTCAGGCAGAATGATTTTGTTTAGTTTCAGAAAGGATGGTCGAGTGTTACGGAGCTGAAGAAATGAGGCAAAAAACAAATGAATGCATGTTTCTTTCTGTAACACGTGGAGGAATCTCAGTTTACTCTTTAAGTAAAACTTTTAATTCAACCTTTGGAAACGATGTCAGAAAAGCAGCAGGCTCACAAGGAGGGACTGGTTTTCATGTTTACATCCAACAAATATGAATAAAGTATGTGCATATTTCTAAAGTTTTAGTGTTTATGCAAGGAAAATAAGAACATTAGACTCAATTTTAGAAGTTTAATTAATATTTGAGCTCATACAGGTGTACACATAATAATACATAACCTCCTTTTTACCTACTTTTGTTTTGTATTTTCAACATTTAAAATGTTATATTCACCGGCTGTTTAGATGCTCAGGCAGGAACTATAAACCAGAAATATCCTATGATTGTGCCTCTTTTTGATTTTCTATACATGTTGTCTTTTTATTTATATATGTATTTTTAAATTTTACATTATGTTACAAGTTTATAGATCCTATCACAGAACGCCTTGTTTCTTCAGTTTGCAATAAAAATACAACGAGCTGTGAAATGGTTGAGTAATGAAGAATGCGAAAACTAATTTATCAACACTTAGTGAAGTTGACTGAAGATAATCCATTTAGGTGATAAATAAATAAAAAAAAAACACTATGGAAAAATGAACTTATGAAGCCATGGTTATTTATAAATCATAAAGAATTAGCTTCTGCTGAAACAAGCATTACTTTTAATTTTTTCTTCTCCTTCCATGAAAATGATTAAATCTTCTAATGTTTTTGTCTTTATGTGCATCTGTCAGTAAACCATCTCTGCAGCTCTTTGGATTTTAATTTAGTTTTCTGGTTATTTTGAGCTTTTTTTTTGTTCATGCTGAGTTTCAGCATTGATCAAAAACATTTTGCCAAATGAATCAGATGTGCACGAAGCAAAAACATGGCCTAAAACAAACAACTCTACCATGGAAATGCTTAAAGCAGAGGCATACAGAGTTATTAAAATCTTTGTCATTTGTTCTACTATAAAACATTCAATAGTTTTACAAAAGCTGTTTTTACTTTCTAATTAAATGAACGTAATTTTGTTCTTTTAAAACAAATATTTTTTCCATTGTTTGTGCACTAATGAGCAGTTTTTAGTGAATAAACAAAGATTTCAAGTCTCATTAATCAGGTTTTTCTAATTATCTAGAAGTAATGATCCACAGACTATTAGTATTTGAAGGACAAAACTGTCATGAGTTTCATCACTGGATTCACAATTTTATTTGTAAAATCATTACATTTAAAAGTCCCGTGACTTTCTGAGCGTGTTTTTGGGAGATTCTTGAAGAAAACTGAGTTGTTCAGGCCTCTAAATGTAAATAACCAAAATGGTTATATAATAATGCTTCTTCCTGTTTATTTATTGCTATTGCTATTTATATTGTCATTTGATTTTTTCCCCCAATCTTTTTTGAATGCTTTAAAACTGTATTTGTTTGGTTACAGTTTTGTATGTTATTGTTTAATTTTTTAACTTAAAATCTAATATTGTGTGTGTAAAATTCATGCCACATCATTTTTTTTAATTCACCCTTTATTTATACAGGTAGTCTTATTGTTTTTCATCCGTTTTGCTGTTAAACCTAAACATAAAAAAAAAAAAAAGGATTACCAACTAATTTGCAGAAAGTCTGCATCAACCTCTTAAGACGAGTTCCTGGAACTGTAAGGAGCAACTGGTCCGCTGACCTCAGGGAACGTGGTGGGACATACGCTGTAGCAAATCAGAGAGATGGGGGAGGGGGTGGGGGGGGGGGACTGTTCAGCGATTTGTAGACATACAGGAGTATTTTGAACTGAATTCGAAGGTGAACCGGTAGCCAGTGCAGTGAGGCCAAAACGGGTGTAATGTGCTCTCTTTTGCCTGTACTGGTTAAAAATCGGGCTGCAGCATTCTGGACCAGTTGTAGTCGTGCAATGGAGGTCTGACTGATACCAAACAGGAGCGAATTGCAGTAATCAAGCCTAGATGTAATGAATGCATGTATTACTGTCTCCAGGTTCTTTTTGGACAATATGGGATACAGTTTAGACAGCCGCCTCAGTTGGAAGAAACATGATTTAACAATCATGTTTACATTATTGTTAAGTTTCAGGGAAGGGTCCAGTATCACTCACAGAATAGTGACTCTTTGTTTTTCTGACAGGGCAAGAGTGGAAAGGTCGATGCAGTGGTTTGTGATAGTGTTGTTGGGAGGGAACAACATGACTTCAGACTTTTTTCATTGAAACTTAAGACATTTAAAGCCATCCAGTCCCTGATGTCAGCCAGGCAGTCGAGCAGAGGTTGAATAGAGCATGTACCATTGTGTCTTAGGGGGAAGTAAATTTGACAGTCATCGGCGTAGAAGTGAAAGGGTATGTTGTGTTTCTGGAAAATAGCATCAAGTGGCAGCAGGTATAAAGAGAAAAGGAGGGGACCCAGGATGGACCCCTGCAGAACCCCCCATTTAAGCTCTGCCTCTGCAGAACTAAAATCCTTGATGGAGACACAAAATGATCTGTCAGCGAGGTAGGATCTGAACCAATTGAGGGCTGACCCTGTGATGCCCACCCACTTCTCCAACCTAGCAATGAGGATCTCATGGTCGATGGTGTCAAAGGCGGCTGTAAGGCCCAATAGGACAAGCAGCACAGAATCACTGGTATCTGTGGAAACGAAAATGTCATTAAAAACCTTCAGTAGGGCAGTTTCAGTGCTGTGGAGAGGTTTAAAGCCAGATTGGAATAGCTCTAAGATGGTGTGATCCTCAAGGAAGCACTTCAACTGGGACTCAACTATTTTCTCCAGTAGTTTTGAAACAAATGGGAGTTTGGAGACAGGCCGGAAGTTGGATACGACTGAGGGGTCAAGGTTTGTTTTTTTCAGGAGAGACTGGACAGCAGCATGTTTAAAGGTTTTTGGCACCACGCCAGTGGATAAACTGCTATTTGCAATAGCAAGAATGGACGGACCTAGAGTGGGAAAAACCTCCTTTAGTAGTCGAGCAGGGACCACATCAAAGGGGGGACCAGAAGGTTTCAAGCTGCACATGACCTGCTCTAGAGAGGATAGAGTGATGGGTTCAAAATGGTCAAATGGAGCTACAGATTGAGGTGGGATGGATGGGTCATGAGTTGGAGGGGAAATGAGAGCTCGGGTGGTCGCAATTTTTTCCAAAAAGAGAGTGTAGGAAGTTCTCGCATAGCTCAGTCGAGGGTTCCAGAGGTGATGGTTCAGTGAGGTGGAGAACAGAGTTTAGGGTAGAGAAGAGGACACGTGGGTTCTGAAAGTTTTAGGTTATGATATCAGAAAAGTATTTGGATTTAGCAGCTTTTACTGCTTTCTGATAATGGCGCCAACTCTCTTTAAGTATTTGAAAAGAGACCTGCAGCCTGTCTTTTCTCCATTTGCGCTCCGCCCTCCTGCACTGCTGCCTAACGGCCTTGGTGACGTCACTCAGCTAAGGTTCTGCTCTGAGTTTTGATTTTCTAGTTTTAACAGGAGCGACATGATCCAGAGTCTTTAAGCAGACAGAGTTGAACTGGGATGTCAGCTCCTCAGTGGTGATGAGAAACACTGGGGGCTGAATCATCATTTCAGAGTTATAAGCATCTGTGAAACGTGCGGCAGTGAAGTGGTTAATGGTCCGGCTGCGACGTGCAGGAGCGCACGGCTTAGGAGATAGATGGGGGAGGGTGAACTCAAACTGGACTGGCATGTGGTCTGAAAAAACATTATCACCAATTTCAA